ATTTAAATATTTCTTGCAATTTATATATTTTGTTAATATTTCTTGTATTTCCAATATTAATATGAATGTTTGTTGCAATATTTAAATTTTGTTTTTCATTTCTAATAAATTGTTAAGGTTTCTTGTATTTCCATTATTATTTTTTTATACTTGTTGAATTGCCAATAATTTTTATAGTTTCTTGCATTCCTATTTTTTTTTTATAGACTATACAAGCACAAATGTTTTTTGGTGCTACTGGGCAAGGAAAAAAAAGCTTCAACCATACCCATTGTTGGGAGGTGGTGAAGAATTGTAAGAAATTCCAAATTATTCCAACGGGTCCGACGGTAGTCTTGAACGAGACGCCACTCTATGAGACACCGGCATCGGATTCACTTATGGATTCCCCGATGAATCAAGACTCACCTATCGAAAAGGAGCCGAGGCCTATTGGGAGGAAGGCGGCAAAGGCGAAGAGAGGGAGTAATTCTACCAAGTCATCATCTAAATTTTTGGAGGAACTTTCAAGGATGCAAGCCATGAGAATTGAAATGGACATTAAACAACAAGAGCACGATAGGGCAATGGATGTAGAAAATGCAAAAGAAAGGGAATATGTACGCCAACAAAGGGAGTATGCACGCCAAGAAAGGGAGTATGCACGACAAGAAAAGATTGAAAATAAGGATCGGGAAACAATGGCCATGGATACAACCCATATGTCCCCTGACACAAAACAATATTGGAAGCTAGAACGAAGGGATGTTATGAGACGAAGACTTTTTCGTGACGATGGACCTAGCAACACGGATTGGTTAAATGATCAAAACAATTAAGTTAGTTTGCTTGCCTTTCATTTCATTGTACTATTAAATTAGTTTGCTTGCCTTTCATTTCATTGTACCTTTAAATTAGTTTGCTTGCCTTTCATTTCATTGTAATTTTTTTTTTATTTAAAAAATTAGTGCTAATTCATGTATTTTATTTTATGAGTTGTATTGATTTTCTTGTAGTGAATGAAGAAAATATTCAACAAAATTCCTTTTTATTCAAAACATTCCATACATAAAAAGCAAACCACAACCAAAGCATAAAAAATAAACAAACCACAACAAAAGCATAAAAAAAACAACAAAGCATAACTAAAAATACAACATAAACATAATGCACTAAAAA